TGCCACCCTACACTCCACATCAAAATGGAATTACAGAAAGAAAGAACAAAACCATCATGAACATGGTGAGAATTATGTTGAATGGAAAGCATCTACCTAAAGAATTATGGGGAGAAGCAGTTTCGACAGCAACATACATATTAAAAAGATGCCCGACGAAGAAGCTTGAAAGAATCTCACCAGAAAAATGATGGTCGGGGTCAAGCCTAGCCCCAGTCACTTGAAAGTGTTTGGATCTATAAGACATAGGCATGTGCCAGATCAGTTGAGAAGGAAGCTTGATGACAAGTCAAATTAGATGATCTTGATAGAATATCATTCGACTGGAGGTTACAAGTTGTTCAACCTAGTGAATAAACAGGTAGTGATCAGGAGGGACGTGATCATATATGAGCATAAAGAATGGGATTGGACAGATAATGTCAAGAAGGATTCAGTGAGAATCTCTTGTGAAGAACCAGCCAGTGAAGTCAAAAGAGAAGTTCAACAAGAAGAAGTCAGAGGTTAAGCAGGCCCAAGAAGACCACGACGAACAAGACACATACATGCAACGTTGCAAGAATGTGTTATCACATCAGATTATGTGTTCGATGAAGAATGTGAGCTAGTACACTATGTTTTCTATGCAGATGTCGAACTAATCAATACAGCTGAGGCATTGAAGGATTCGAAGGCGGTGAAAGCTATGAATATAGAGTTAAAGTCCATCGAAGTCAATATGAACAATTGACACACATGTTAGACAGACGTAAAGTGTGTGTTTCTTAATGGACTGTCGCAATTGCGAAAAACACCCGGCGGAAAACAGAAGAGTCGCCACCTTTCGTTATTTATCCCAAAGAAAGAGAAAGGGAACGATCAGAAAAACCTGACGAAAAAGGAAAAGACGAGGTCATCGCAACCAAGTCCTGGATTCGGGAGTCGGTTACGCAAGGGAAAGGTATGAGCACCCCTCACATCCGTCGTACTCGACGGGATCCACGCATAGTTGTCTATCTAAAAGGGTAGTTATCTATCTAGCTAAAGGTCTCAGGGACAAAATAAAAGAAAAGAAAGGACACACTAAAGGGAGACTAACTCAATCCTAAAAGTTGTCATGCAAAGTGGACTTAGAGTTGGGATACAAAAGGGAACTACCTAATGTTATCATGCATGGTTTGATCCTAATGTCTATCATAACCTCTCTTGAAGAAGAGAACTTAGAGATCCTAAGGGAAGAAAGACAAAAGAAGAAGAAGAAGAAAGAACATGCAAATGCAATTATGTAAACATAGAATGCACAAATAGAATGAAAGTGAGGGAGGAAATATGTGTGGGGAAATAGCCTCCACAAGCTCATCTTAACCTCAAGCATGCATATGAGAATGCAAAAGAAGAAGAGAGAAAGAAATGCACAATATTAAATCATACAACAAGAGGAAACCACACAAAAGTGCACCAAAAGTGGGATGAAATGACCTAAGCCAAACAAAATCAACCACAAATGCCAAAAGCCAAATCAAATGAAAGGAAAATAAACTCAAAACAAAAGTGAGTATGGGAGGCTATATGAGGACAGCAAGGAACTCATAATATGCACTCAACCATAAGCATCACAAGAAATGTGCAAAAGAAAACCCAAAGAAGTCCTCATGGATTCATCACTTTAGGTGTGCTTCAAATACCTCCAAATGAGGGACCAAGCCACCTTAAATGAGACTCCAAGGTCATGGGACAGAAGATAGAATGATAGAAAAGTGCTCAAAAGCAAAAGGAAATCAAACTAAAAGAAAATGCAAGCACTTATGCAAAAGAAAGCAAACAAGCCACATATGGAAACCCTAAATGGAAAGTCAAAAGGGAACACAAGTTTGAACAAGCAAAACACAATGTCATGACCTAAAATTGAGAAACCAGCAACCTTAACATGTTAGCAACATGAATCAAAAGGAATTGAAGGCTCAAAGGATCCATCAAAGTCATTTCCAAGACAAACTAGGTCAATGTGTATGTATGAACCTCCCTTTGGGGTAGCTTGACTTGCAAGTTACCTCAAAATTAGGAAAATGATTCAAAAAGGGCCAAATAAAATGTCACAAGTACATAAACATGGGGACATTCAACTCTAATATGACCATAGCCTTAACATCCATAACACTGAATTCCTTTGCCTTGGTTGGACTTGTCTTCAAATTCAACTCTTCTACAAATGTCAGAGGGAATTTTCTTGACATTAGGTCTGGTCTTCTGATCTATTCTTCTTATCAATCTGTTGAATTGTCTTCCAAGCATAACTATAGCTTCTGATAGATTTTGCTCACTTCCACCATTGCCTTCATCTGAGTCCTTTTCAGTGTTTGATACAAAAGTTATGCTTTTGTTCTTCTTTTCATCATTTTAACACATTCCCATCTCAAAGGTTTGGAGTGAACCAATGAGTTCATCAACCTTCATGTTGCTGATATCTTAAGCCTCTTCTATTGCAGTAATCTTCATGGCAAATCTCTTGGGCAATGATCTGAGAATCTTTCTTGCAAGTTTTTCTTCAGACATTTTCTCTCCTAAGGCTCCTGAGGTATTGGCAATCTCAAGGATACTCATGTAGAAATCATGAATGGTCTCACCCTTTTTCATCCTTAGATTCTCAAACTTAGTAGTCAGCATCTGTAGTCTAGACATCTTGACCTTAGAGGTACCTTTATGAGTTGTTTTGAGAGCATCTTAAACTTCTTTGGCCAGTTCACAGTGATGCACAAGTCTGAAGATATTCTTATCTATCCCATTTAATAGAGCGTTCAAGGCCTTATAATTTCCTAGAGCCAAAACTTCTTGCTCTTTACTTCACTCTTCTTCAAGTATTAGCACAGTTGATCCGTCTTTCTCTGTCTTCACTGGATGTTCCCATCCTGAATTAGCTGCTTTACAGGACTTTCTATCCAGAGATTTCAAGAATGCTATCATCCTAGGTTTCCATGAGTCATAGTTAGATCCATCCAGAATGGGTGGTCTATTAGCAAATGCTACATCCTTGTTCATAGTATCAGAATTTATCGTCCCTAGATCTCACCCAGAAAATAACAGGCAGGGTGCCTGCTCTGATGCCAATTGAAATTCTAGTAACAGACAGTCGATGGTATGTCGGATGTTATGACATCCTCTTCTGAAAAGATGATTAAGCTTAGCAGTAAACAAGTAATGAAAGCAGTAAAGAACACAGGAAATTGTTTACCCAGTTCGGTGCAAATCACACCTACTCTGGGGGCTACCAAGCCAGGGAGGAAATCCACTATAAGTAGTGTTAATTCAAAGCCAAACAGTCAGTTTGCACTCTTCACTTAAGACCTACTCAATGCAATTTCAATCTAACTTTAGACCTGAGTTCCTACTCACAACCCCTCAATCACAACATTGATATCAATCAAATACAACCAAATTCAAAAAGAAGACACACTTCAAACAAATCTTGATCTTGCTTAAAAGCTTCAATCAAGATACATAGCACTCTTGCTTAAAAGCTTAGAGTGACATAACCAAAACACCACTTAAAAACCACTTTAGTCCAATACAATCATCAAGGTGATAATTGCTTGGCTCACAAGAAAACCTAATACACAAAACACACGTGAAGATATAAACACACTAGTAGAATTCTTCACACCAAAATCTCTGAGTCTTTAGTGAGGATTGTCACTCTTCTTTATATGCAGCGCATGGGCCTTGGGCCTAGGTAGCATAAATTAGGTTTAACCAAGTTAATCCAATCTCCATAATTCAAGGTGCTACAAAATAGGCCATGGGCGTTTCCTAAAATATAACCTGAGATAAAGTAGGAAACCTAACAGAAAACAAACAGCACCCATGCTATCAGATACCTGATGTCACAACATTCAGTGTGACATCTAATAAACTCTGTATTAGCTAACCAAACATATCCTGCATAACACTACACAAGAATGTCATGACATCAGTCAAGACACCTACACACATAATAATGTTTTACCACAAAATGCAGCCAATCAAGAACATCTACAAAAGGGTTCATTGTAAGGTAGCCTAAGAGGAAGTCGTGTGTGTTTAATGAGTCCTAAACTAAGCCTTGAGCAAAAGTCGAACAAAAATCTCCAAGCTAGGGTTCCTGAAAATGTCCCATGATCCAACAGTCCACCAATTTAGGCTTTTAGCGTTTCGATCATTTATTAAGTGTTTTCGAATATGGGTGAATAAAATGAATATGAATATGACAATTATGAATAATATGACAAGATAGTATAACAATATAATCAAGATAATATCCGCAATAATATGAACAAGATATAATGATTGAATTTAAGTCAAGGGTATATTTGACTGAAAGTAAAACAATTTTATATTGACGGGAAGTAAAGTTAGTGGTTAGTCGATTTATAAATTGAATCGGGATGAAATGTAACACTAGACCTTCGTAGTTTGACTTATGACGAAAGTCGGGCTATAGGAGATCGCGTAAATCGATATCCGTACTAAAAATAAGATAGAGAAATGATATTGAAGATCATTCTCCAATTTAATCATGTCGCACAGACAAAAGAAGAGTGGGGTCTCGTCTTAATCATAAACTCGTGTTAATTAATCGAGGGTAACCTTTCACGATCCCAAAGTATAGAAAAATGATTCAAATGATCATCTTCTACAAATTTGAAATAATAAATGTTAACAACCTCGAAAACCAACGTTTGCGAATAAAGGACTTTCATTGATCGAAATTAAAAATAAATTTGAAACAAAAGAATAAATTAGAAAATAACCAAAATATCCCACAAAATCTCTAATAAAGTATTTAACAAAATAACTAATAGAGATTATGAACAAAATTAATTATCAAAGAAAGGTAACCAAATGAAACAAATATTTAAACTTAAAAAAAAAAGCAATGGGCTTGCTAGTCCATGATCCTACCTATTAAAAATAAAATAAAATAATAGAATAAAAAAAAGCCATCGACTCAATGGACAACCACCCCTATTTTAAAAATAAAAACTTAAATGTCAAAGCATTCTTCCTCAAAACTAGAAAACAAGCTAAAGCTCAGAAGAAGTGGCTTCTTCATCATCGCGCCTTATCACCAGATGAAACGGGAAAAAATAGCGACCAAACTTCGACTCCGCAAATCTACTCTCTTTTCTCGCTCAATCTCTCTCGATTTGAAATGTTTGTGTTTTAATCCTGTTCATTTCCTACTTCACCTTATTTGTAGATCTATTTCAGATTTAGGTTTTAGGTTTGTGTTTGAATCCGGCTTTCACCTCATCTCTATTGCATTTCTATCTATCTTATTCTCTTGGTTCTGTTGAGTTGTTAATTTGGGATTGATTGGTGGGTAGGTGCGTTTAGGTTGAATAATGAGGATCTTGAAGGAAGATGGTTGAGGGAAAACAAACGGCAGCGGTTTTTCCTCCCCATTCTTTCTGAGAGTCGCGTCCTTTTTATAGGAGGTTTGGAGTTTTTGTGTGAATTCTTGTGGCTGCTTCTGCATTTTGGGAAGCTGTTGTGGAAAGTTATTGCTATCCGTTGCATTGTGCGTGGGTTCGTATATGATTCGCTTGTGGATTTGGACAAACATTTTCGTAAAATGCGTGGTTTCGTTTATTCTACATATGACGTTTATAACTTGGTTATTTTTCCTTTAAGAATTGTATTTGCAGTGTATTACTTCGTGAATCCGTATGTCGCGGGTCGGTGTATGTTAGCTGGAGCATGTGGCTTTGAAGGCTATGTATTTTGACATTGAAGTTGGTGTCCTTATTGTGTTTCAAGCTGGTAATGTGGATGTAGAGTGACTTGGGTGGGACACAATTTAGAAATGCCTAGTGCAAAAATTTGTTTTTATTATATATTTTCAAATTATAATGGAGGCTTGCAAAATAATTGACAATGTTGATTTTGTAATATTGTAATGATGCTTATTGGACTTGAAAGATCAATGGGCTTTTTAGATGAAGTGGGCTTTTGTGTGATATAACAATTTTATGCCAATTTCCTTATAATGTAGATAAAGCTAACATGGGCCTAGACTTATGGACATTTGGAATCTGGTTGTTATTTGAATTGAACTTGGATTATGAAACCACCTTAAAATTGGCTAAAAATAATACTCCTTGCACTTGAATGGGGATGACTAAATTGAATCCACAAAAACAACCTTTAAATCCAAATTTTATCAGTTTTAAATTCTTTACTTTGAACAAACTTAATCCCGTCTCGCCATACCCATCCTTGACATCTGAATAGTGATGAACCAAAAGACTCCACATTCTTTGATAGATATTAAGGACCAAGCGAATATGCCTTGGATTAAAAGTCGTGTCTTGAAGTGTGAATCTCAACACACTGTATAAACCCTAATTAAAAGGAACCAACTATTGATGAAGCACCTAACCTATTACAACTTGATAACCTAATTCACAAACAGCCAGAGTTCCCACAGAAACCCTAGTTGAAACTCCGGGCACACATAACCTGACTTACACAACATATCCTCGACTGTTCTTGAAATAGAACCTTGTCTAACTGTCAAATCAGGTCAAAACCATTGGACCTCGGTTCATGTTACACATACACCTGACTAGACAGCTTTGCCCAGTAACACCTTGAGCGGGAACATGTTTTTTTAATAAGAGTTAGTGGGTAGGTGTATAAATGAAAGTAATATAAGTAGGACAAATTTGGGGTATGGCAGGTGTTCACCAAGGATTGGGGCCCTTGTGCATACGTATTCCCTCGTGCAATGGGAAAGTCAGAGTGTTCGTAGTTCGTGGGACTATGGTTGTTGGTTTGTTTTATCAAGCAAATGTTTAGAGGGAACTAAACATTGTTCTTTTTTAAAAAAATTAATCGCACGACGGCGAGAAGTTGAATAAATGTGTTGGTATTTTGATTGGATGACGATCACTTAAAGCTTAAGAAAGGCTCCTCGAGCCTAAGTAATCGGGAGAGTGAATTGAAGATCCTATTCTCTCTCTCTCTCTCTCTCTCTCTCTCTCTCTCTCTCACCTTAATTATGAAGGAGTTTCGATACAGCTAAAGTGAGTTAAACAGATGACGATTACTCGAAGCTTAAGAAAGGCTCATCGGGCCCAAGTAATCGTGAGAATGAGTCAAAGACTTAACTCTCTCTTTTTCATCTAAGTATTGAGAACATAGATTTGATTTTGTTTATTGTAAAATAGTTTGATGTAGAATCGAGTTATGCATTTTTTAATGAAGACAATTGTTCGAACTTAAGAAAGGCTCCTCGGGCCCAAACGATTGAGGAGAGGAATTGAAGACTCCATTCCAACTCCCTTTTCATCTTTATTTGAAATATGATCTAAGCATAATTAATTTCATTAGGTTGACTTTCATAAGATTCTCGATGTTGATCGAGGTTTAAATTTTCATACGAAACGATTAAAGGTTTGAACTAAATGGAAGGAAGGTCCTAGTGGTATAAGGTAAGGTTGATGGCGAAGGAAAATCGCTCGACTTACAAATTGGGTAAGAGGACTTAATATGTGGATCAAGTATGCTTGAAAATAAGTTAACGGTTAATGGAGAATCCTATTGAATTTGTTTTGAAAATGCTTGATGTTGGATCAAGCTTATTTGTTCTTTTGAAAAAAGGTTGATTTTAATCTTGTATTAAAACTACCTAAGTGAGAACAAGCATTACATTTCACGGGGAAAGGGATACATTTGCTCAAATTAGGATCAAACCAAGCCATAATTAGAGTAAATCGACCATACATATGCATGCAAACAAGAGTGTGAGATATGCAACAATCATCATTGTATAAAGCCCAAGAAAAGGCTATGTGAGGTCGATTGCGATCGTGAAGACGATCAACTTACAAGGTATTTAAAAATGGTTTGATTTTAGAAGGGGAATATGAATAAAAGAATCAAATCAAACCACATGATGACATCAAAGCGAGCAATAGGTGGAGCTTCTCACCTGATCAGAGTAAATCCGATGTCAAAATTCGGTAAAGGTATGATTTCACGCCCCTCTTCTGCTTGTTGACTTCCTTATTCTACTCCTTGTCCTTTTCTTTCTGTTGTTGTTGTTGTTGTGTGTTATTGATTTTTGTGGCTTTAGTGTTAGCTTAGCTCAAATTAGCTCAGAGTTTCAATTAGAAACTCTGAGTAATTTTTAAGATGAAAGGGGCAGAGTATCAATACACATCACAAAGGATATACAACAGAGTCAACACGACCCCATCCAACAACCCTGGTGATGGTTAGAATACAACATAACAACAAATAAAAGAGAAAATGCATCAGGTGCAACAGCGAGACTGAAACTCCTCTAACAACTCTCTAGTATCGGGGTGATTGGGCCTGTCAATCAATCCTTGAATGAGCAAATCCATCTTGCTGATAGTGGCTTGCAAACCCCGAGCATAGTCTTCCCAAGCATCTTCTCCAAAGGCATCTTCAAGTCTGGGTTTCTTCAAGTATACTCTCAACTTGTATTCTTCCAACGTTGCAAGAGCTTCATGGTGTTTACGGTCTCTTTCATATTGGTGCAAGGATTCTCCTGGAGTTTTCTCAATTCTGTCTCGAAGCTGAGTTTTCAAACTGTCAATCTGCTGACGAAGTTTATCTTCTCACTCTTTTTTGTTAGTTAGGATAGCATTCCATTGGGCGTTGAACTTTGATATCTCTAAATGTGCTTTCTCTAGCTCCTTCTTCTTACCTTTGAGAACATCACTGACACTCTTCAAATCTCGACCTACTTGTTCTCGGGCACTAATCTCTTTTGTCAATTCCCTACCCATCCTGTTCACCATCTCTGTCTACTTCTTGGATGAATGGGTAGCTTGATTCCTTTCACTCTTAAGCTGCATAATTTCCTTCTCCAACTCTTCGTTTACCTTGCGTAGTTCTTATTTTTCAGGCCACAATTGATTTTATTTCTGTACATCAACTGTCGTAGGTTCTACAACTACTGAAGGATACAAAGGTTCTCTTACTGGAAAGGGTAGCAACAATTTCTCGACTCTCTCCTGAATCCATCCCATGTATGGTTCATAAGCTCTGCAATCGCTCTTGCCTAGCAAAGATTTTTCTCTGTGATGGATCTTACCCCAGGCCTTTTCAAATCTGATTAAGGTCCCCTCGTCAATTAAACCGGTGAAATACAGAGATTCATGTACTTCTTCTTTCCTTGGAGGTTCTCTTAAAATATAGCCAAATTGCCTGACAGCAAGAGCTGGATTATAGTTAATGCCACCTTTTCTCCCAATCAAAGGAACATTGAGAAAAATCTCCACAACTGTGAACAACATCCACGCCCAAAAGGTTTATGTCAAACCACACAATGTTCTCCGATCTTAACCCCATCAGCCTTTCTAACCAATCAAGAGTGTCTGCAAGGTCAACAAAGGGTCCAGACTTTGGCAGATGTGAAATAAACCATCTATATAGCAACGGAGCGCAATAGGAAACATTCTTGCCTCGTCTATTCTCATTCTTATAATAGATCGAATGATAAACATCGCCTAAGAGAGTTGGCACAGGATTCTTAGAGGCGAAGCTATAGCAAGCATCCAAGTCAACAAAATCAGGTAAGTTAAGGAACAATGTAATCCCATAGATGCACAGAGCCAAAATGGCGTTAAAGACCGACCAACATCCCTCTTTTGCAAAATGCTGAGCTTTATCTACCAAAAATGTAAGTAGAAAACCATAGATTTCACTTATCTGTATCAAATTCCCTTCTAATTCAGAGACATCAAGATGCAGAGCGTCAGCCAGCTTGGATAGTTCAGGCTCCTTCTCCAAATGTACAAAAGGTACCTCTTCCAACACAGGAATTCCTATCAAATGAGAGAATTCTTCCAGAGTTGGTAGAAAAAGATACTTAGGAAACACAAAGCAGCGCAACTAAGGGTCGTAAAATTGAAGCAACACATAAGCACCTCTTGTCTCAAACTTAGAGGCTTTGCAGACAAAACTCAAAATCCTCCCATACTCTTTTCTAAAATCTCCCATCACACTACGATCAGCTGCAGAGATTAGACTTAGCAGAGGTCCTAATTCTGGCGTAGGGAACTTGTACATTACACTCTTCTTCATATCGGGCTCCATATCAATGGTGGATTAGATTACTAGAATCAAGAGAAGAAATGCACCTGAAACACAAATACATGTTAATGTAAAAAAAATGCAAATGAATATGCAAATGCAACACGAGATCAAGATTGATGTGCTACTGACTAAGATGAACCGGCACTTCGCTTTGGCAGGAGAATAACACAACACTGATGTAAGGACCCACTATATCAAGGACCAAAAGTTCGCACTGACGAGAAAACCGGGTAGGTTGAAGGCCAAGGTTTCCTGCATAACCCCCCCACTCACAGACATGAACCTATCTCTGACAAGGTCTGGCATCTTATACGGTCATCAGCGCCACAGACTTTCGAGAAACGATGATACATTCACCATTTCTTGTTTGGCATCATGGTTTAATGAAGCGGCCCCACTTAGCTGACTTCTAAATGACCGGTCTCCAGAGTCGACAGCCTTCAGATCCAACACCCTTTCCTGACAAATGTACAAGATAGGATGCCTTCAAAGAAGACCTCGTCTAAATGCGAATTTCGTGAGAATTGTGCATGCGGAAGCATACAGGTCCAACACTACTCTCTAATCTAATGTTATGGTTATTCTCAAGCCTAGGTTTTGGCTTATCACACAATGGAACATTCCCCTCCCACAGCACAGCAATAATGATATATA